ACATGCATGAATGCTACATTGTTACTGAAAATTTACACACATCTAAAATCTAGATATGCAAAATTATGGCTCCTACAAAAACCATAATTCTTCTGTTAAATATACAAAATGTAGCATTTCCTATTACTCTGTAAGGTACCATATATTAAACCATAAAAACTTCACACAATGTGCCTGAGTTACAGTTGCTTGGGGGAACACTACTTTCATGGCTTCTATGCACATAACTTCTCCACTGTAAAGTTATATCACTTTCTGGTCTCATTTTTCTTTTAAAATAAATATGAACATAATTAGATATTTCAAAACACTAAGTCCTCTCTAATGCTAAAGTACCTGAAAAACTCAAACTCTGTATCAACTTTTACACACCCAAGTTACTAGTCCTGGCTCTATGGCTCTCAGAAATCACTTCTCTATTTCTTTTGAAATGCACATAGCATGTGTAACCTCTGACACAGCAGGCATGGGATCTGACATTTTAAAATGTAGCTACAGGAGCCAGGGATTTAGCTCAGTGGTTCCAGCGCCTGCCTCAAAAGCACAAGGATCCGAGTTCGATCCCCGGTACCAAAAAAAAAAAAAAAAAATGTAACTACAGGAGAACAAGCCAAGTTAAAAACAAGATTTTAAAAGCACATTACAGTTTAAACTGATGTCTTAAAATGCTCATAAAATTAAATATGGATAGCCTGAACTGTATTAACCTTCTGGTAATAACCTAGGTTAGATGGTGAACTGATAAAAATATCAGAAACCTGGAGCTATCTTTAAGTTCTAATTTTTACACAAAAGCAAGAATAAATATCCATAGGCATACCATGCTATTGCTTCAAAGGTACAATTATGACAAAAGGCATTTTTTAAAGGTGCAGTAAGTAAAACAATCAAGTCTATAGTATGAAGGCTAGTGGACTCAAAAATAAATGAGAACTCAAATAAGGCAAATTTGACTATGCAGAACTTCATAAAGTCCATATACTTTATGTTTAAAAACCTAGAATTCATACTATAAAATGTCAATTTGGACACTCAAGACCTGAGGTATTTTTAATTACAAATATGGTATCTAACAGGATAGAGAGCAAAGGTTTTCACTGTCTACAATGCCAATTAATTTTCATGACCTCTAAACTATATGGGTTTACTTAGAATAAAACTTGGATCCTCTATAATCAACATCATAAATGGTCAATATAAGCACTATGTGTACAAAGCACTGAAACACAGGGTCAACAATACATGCACATATCCCTCTACCCTAACCCTGGGTGACAACTTGTTCAGATGACTTCCAATATGACAAAGTAAATCCTTTCACTCTCCACCTATGTCCATTCCAAACTGGTACAACTACTTAAGCAAAGTTTAAACAACTGGCAATGCAAAAGTTTTCACTTGTTTGGCTGGTTTCGACATCTATACAAAGTCTTAGAAGTAATTTTTGGAGCTGGGAATGGTGGCACATGCCTGAGGCAGGAGGGTTCAAGGCCAGCCTGGACAAGTTAGGAAGACCTTGTCTCAAAAAAATGGGGGGACCAGCTGGGTGTAGCTAAATGGTAGAGAGCCCCTGAGATCAATCCTCGTACTACAAAAACAAAAAAGTAATTTTGGGGGAAAGAAGTCTAAATACATTCAGGCCACAATACAATTATGCCTCTAAGATCATTTAAGAGCAATGGTCACCAAGCTATTCCATAAAGGCAGGAGAAACTGTACTTCGAACCAAATCTAAAGGACTAGATTAAAAATAATTCCTAGAAAATGGAAAGAAAACAATCAGGGACATAGGAAAGTAGTATTTATGTCAGAAAAAGTAATTCTTGTACATCTCCCAAGTATTTTGATAGTAACTCAGTGAATATCTCAGGGAAAATGACTTCACAATAGATACAAAGTACCTACTTTTAAAATCTCAGGGTGCACTAGAAAGTAAGGGGCTAGTCAATTTGAACATAAGGACACAAAATCCTTTTCCCCTATAGTGTGGGGGCATCTTCAATTCATGAAAGAAGCCTGGATATTAGAGGAAGATGCATTTTGATGCTTGAAAAAGAATTCTAATTCTACAGAGTCCAAAATGGTAGCCATTAGCCGCATATGGCTATTAAACACTTGACTTGTGGATAGTAAAACTTGGGAACTGAAATTTCATTGTATTTATTTAAAACTTTAATTTCTTAATCACACATTTTAAGTGCTCAAAAGCTACATGTGGCGCCTTGTTGGAAAGCACAGATATAAAACACTAAAACTGTTACAAAAAGTTGGTATTAAGCAGTGCTGTTTAGATCTTTATTCAAACATGAAAATGATATCAGAGACCACAATTTCACTCCTAAACTTTTTAAACTGTGTAATAGGCACTATCTTAAATGCCGTTGCATTACAGAAAAACCAGATGATCAAATTTCTCCCTTCCACATTCTAGTGAAAAAGAAAACAACTAAGAAAGAATGAAGTAAATGCTAGGTTTGAATGATGGGGTGGTAGGCAGTAACTAATTCTAGTAAACAAAAGCATCAGTATCAGCTGACCAGCTTGGCTTCATAAGCACATAGAGGCACTGGATCCTTGAAAAAGCACAAGCTTTGGCCATCAGTCAGCCCTGGGCTCATGTCCTTGTATATACCCCTGAAAAAATCACTTATTCTCTATCTTTATCTTCTTATCTATAAAAATGAAAATAGTATTAGCCTATTTGGGCTGGGGATTTAGCTCAGTGGTTCCACCGCCTGCCTCGAAAGCTAAGGACCCAAGTTCGATCCCCGGTACCAAAAAAAAAAAAAAAAATATTAGCCTATTTACAACATAAGCCTTTATCATGAAATTAGGGATAAGAAGCTTCATTAATGAATGTACTCTATTACAGTGATACCTTGGTTATCGAACTCAATTCACCCCAAATTCGTGATTGAACACTGAAAAATTCAAGAACTGAACGTATTTTTCCCATAAGAAATAATGGAAAAACAAATAATTGGTTGAGCACTAAAAATTACACTTATAAATTCACTTTTCCAGGACAAAAAATTTCACACTAATTTCTTTAACTTGTAGTCCTCAGTTTTCTTCTCAGTTTTACTGTTGGTATCACTAACTTTCTTTGGAACCATTGTTACGATATCTAATGCAAATAAAGTGCGAAAAAAAGGAAAAGCACAATGATGAATGTTTTAACTTACTAACACAAGCACAATATGTTGTCTGGGTGACAGTGGCACTTAGACTGAAGTGTCACCCCTTTGTGTCCCCAGTGAGACTCACTCTTGGCCCATACAGGTTTTTTCAAGTTGGATTTTCGATTAGACTATCAAGCAAAGTTACAAACACTAAGCATTTTTTTTTTCAAACTTTTGCTGTTGGAGTAGTGGAAAGTTTGAGTTTGGAGCCATTTGACAACCAAGGTATCACTGTACTTTTCAATAACTCAGAAGGTAAAGTGAGGAGTCAAGATGGTAAGTGACATTTGAGACGGACTTCGACAATCTCAAGATGATCAAAGAGATCCTACCAGGTAAGATTCTACAAATAGGCAATTTGCATTTTTTTTCACACCTCAGATATATTATAAATATCTGAATAGCACAATGGGGCACATGAAGGAGGCTCTGGGAGCTCCAGGTTCTACCTCTCAAATGTCCAGAGACCTGAGGGGATCCCTATCTCAGTATAGCACATCATATTTGGGGGTTTCTAGGAGACAGCTAGAACTGGGTCTTCTGAAATAATCCTGGAGTTTGGCATCTACTAGCCTGATGTAGTCTGAGCCTCACAAGTTCAGAGGACTTGTAGATACCACTTAGCCACTTCAGTTTTCTTATCTGTAAAGTAGGGTGACATCAGAGATAGCAGAGAACACATATGAAGTCACTTCCTACACTATAATGGGCCCAATGCATATAGGGTGTCCAGAACGGTTTTGAGCTTCATTTCTTCAGCCTTCCATTAAGAAACTCATCAGGATATCAGCAGACGTAGGTGCCCACCTTTTTCCACCAGACTATAAGAAACCTGAAGGCAAAAACCATGCCTCACATTGACCAACAGTCCCGTCTCAACAGGACTGAATGCCTACACTGTGCACAACAGCATGTTAAATGTTCATTTGGATCACTGTTTATTTCTCATCACAATTTGTGTATTTGACCTTCAGATTTTCTCCATCTGCAAAGTTTCTACTTCAATAAGGCTCTGAGAATTTAAAAAACGACAACATACGTAAAGATATTAGTACTGTACCTGGCACATAATAATGGTAGTTTACATCAGTTATCATCTCCATTTTGGAGATAAAGAAATAAGGGTCTGCCAGGCTAAGTTGCTGGGATCAGTAAGTGTCAAAGTCGGGCTTAACTTCTAGGCTGTTGGCAGAGGTAGCTTGCTATTGTGTCCAACATGGTACCTTGCACAAAACAGGCTGAGTTCAATGAATGTCTGTCAGATCCTGAATAGGGCCTGAAATCAATGGCAGGTAAATTTCTAAGGCTGATCTGAGGACTGAGTGCGAGTACATATACACAAAGGTCTAAGTATAGCGACTGGCAAGGAGTAAAAAGCTTTGCAAGTGGCAGCTACCCTTGTGGTTTTACAAAAGAGAAAACATAGGCATTCGGAGATGTCATTTAACTAGCAAGTGGCTAAGCCGGTACTCGATCAAGCCATTCTGACTCCAGGGCCCTCTGGCTTTTACTCCAAATGCCCAGCACAGGGCCTGACGCCTAACAGTACGGGTGCCCAATGCAGCAAAGACAACAGTAATCGCAAGTGTCGGGAGAAGCCTGAGGGGAAAACAGTTTGAAAGTCTGAGGATCTGAACCCTAGTCCCTAGAACCTCAGACAAGCACCTTATACCTTTCACGGGTGTTTCTTACTTCGAAAAATGAGAGATAACACTGTCTCCCATCTCAGAAGCGCGAGACTGAAACGCAAGGCTCAATTAAGAAACCACAAGGGTCTGGGGAGTGGGAGGGCTCAAGGGAGCAGGAGGGGATGTTTACCTTTGCGGAGCTCGCGATGCCACACAGAGACGATTGGTCCTGCGTGCTTGCGGTGGTGTATGAGCCACAGAGATAGAGTCTGCACGCTCTGCTGAGAGTTGCTCAGCTCCGAGAGCTTCTTCTCCAGCGCCGACTCGGAGAAGGAGGACATAGTGGCGGTGGAGAGGCCCGGCGAAGAGCGGCCAAGGCCGCCCAGTGTAATGAGAAGAGCGACCGCACACGTCCCGGGCCCTACCTGACAGACTGCAGGACTCTTTAGCAACTGACAGATGGCCAGGTGTGCAAGGCGGGGGAGGGGATGGGTCTCTGCAGTAACAGCCGCCCGCGTCCCCCGCACAAGATGGCCACCCGACCTCTCACCCCGCCGCGAGAGCGAGGTTAAAGGGCAAAGGCCGGAGTAGCTGGGCACCGAGAGGAGTCGGAGCTGTAGGAAAACGTTGCTTTGGAAGCGGTGGCCTCTCTGACCCTCGCTCAGAGCACTTTGAAAAAGCAAGACAGAAAGAAAGACCTCAGTTTCCCAAGCCCGGAAGGAGATTTGACCGCTCAAGCCTGCACGCCGGCGCAATGAGTCTCACCGGATCCCTTTCTCCCGCGGCCGCAGAACCTTTCTGGCGCGTTATGGCGCGCTGCTTAGAGCGTCACTTCCGGCGACTTGCAGGAGGCGGGAGAGTGAGGGAAAGGCTGGAAGACGAGGTAAGAGAAGAGTGGCGGGAACAAGAAGGAGCCTAGCAGCTGCGAGCCGTTAGAGGGGGATCTTGAGGGGACACTGAGCCTGAGAGATCATGACCTTGGTATGGGAGGGGACTTCCTCCCTCACCAGGCCGGCCTCAGGCGACACTTTTCCTCCACATGTACATGTCCTGCTCTTCGGCTGCCCCCCTCCCCCAGCTCCTTTCTGCGTCTTCCAAGGCACTCACGTGCCCTCGTCACACCTCCACTCCTTGGCTCTCGCTCTCTCTACAAACATGAGTCCCCCTTTCTCACCTATTGAGCTCCTCCTCAGTCTCTGGGACCACCCTCTAATATCCTGTTAGGATGTTTAATCTGTTACTGTGCAGTCTCATGCTCTTGGCTCTTGGTTGCTTCATTCAGAGAATCATCTGTTTTTGCCCTCCCTGTGCGGCCATTGACTTCTCTTTGAGACTCTAAACCCTTATCTCATTCGCTAAGAGTTTTAAATTTCATTTGTCAAATCAGCAGAGAAATTTTCTAACTGCTATGGGTATAGTGATAAGGAGTTAGTTTTTCATAGACATTACAGAATTCTAAAATTTCCTGATCCCTGTTGAACATTCTAGTTGTGGGCCTGCCCCAGCTTTGGAGGCATTCTTGATGCCCGTGTTGGTTGTTTTTTGTTTTGTTTTGTTTTAGGTTTTGGTAACAAAGGTCAAACTCAGGACCTTGAGCTTTCCAGGAAGGCTGCGGCACCACTGAGGTAAATCCCTGGCCCTCCTGATGCCTGTTTTTGCTTTTACTGCAATGTCATTCTTTGCTTAGGTACTTTTACCCTTCATCCAGACTAGAATCATCATAACCATAGCTAACATAGTGAGAGTGCTATGTGCTAAATACTTTCCACATAATACCACACTTAATCCTCATAACAAAGGTTATAAAGTAGCTATTATATTCTTTCTGTTTAACAAATGAGGAAACTGAGGCTCAGAGAGGTTAAGTGACCTACCCAAGATCACATAACTGAGATTTGAGGAAAAGATCTCATCCAAGCCATCCCTTTTACTCTAGCACTTGATTCATAGTTGATTGAGTAAATTAAAAGAGGCAAATAGCCTAAAATTCCAGTCAATATCTAGTCATGATTGTAAGCTAGGGTTTTTGAGTACACACCTAGACCATCTTTCAGTGTTAAGTAACATTATCATATACTTGCACATTTATGCCAAGTCATGTGTACTCAGCACATTACATACATTTTGTTTTATTTCGTTTTTTTGAGACAAGGTCTTGCTATGTAGTTCACACTGGCCTTGAACTCACTAAGTAGCCCAGGCTGGCCTCAAACTGGGCAATCCTCTCATCTCAACCTCCTGAGAGTGCTGGGATTACATGCGTGTGCCCAGCTACGCTTCTATTTCATTCTTACCACAGTGCTATGGATGGGTGTTATTATCACTATTTGAAGATGAAAAAATATGAAACATGGATGAATAACTTATCCATAGTTACTCCTGACCCATTGGTTAATTCATTCATTTAGCAAATAATTTTTGAACACCTTTATCTGAAGCACTATTCTAGGCAAACAGACCAAATATCTGTGTCCTCGGAAGCTTATGGGGGGTTGGGTTAGAAAACATGCAAGAATAAAATGAATCAGAAAGTGGTAAGTGCCTTGAATAAAAATCAGTGCATTATTTGTGGGCAGATAGGAATCTGACATTTTTGCTAGTCAGAGAAAGCCTCATTGATGAGATGACATTTGATCAAAATCCTGTAAGAAATCAGAACAAATCACAAGCTATCCTAGGCAGAGGGGAAACTAAGTTTAGACCATTATTGGCATTTTAGAGGAACAGAAAAAAAGAATAGTAAGATTGGAGTGACTTGAAATGAGCTCAGAGTAGTGGGGCACCACATCACATGGGCACTTGGAGGCAATAATATGGACTTGGATGTTACTCTAAATGAAATGTGGGTTCATTGGACAGTTTGGAGCAAAAGAGGATTCTGGCTGTTAAGTAGAAAATAGACATGGTACAAGGGTAGCAGGAAGACCAATTTATCAGCTGTTGTAATAACCCAGGTAAAAGGATGACTCAGACCAAGGTTGTATCAGAGGAGGTGGTAAAAAGAGGACAGATTCTGTGAAAATTTTAGAGAAAGAACAAGATTTGCTGATAGGTTGAGTGTGAAAGAAAGACGAGAGTTTAGAAGGCCCCAAGGGTATTAGCCTAAGCAGTTTGAATGTAAGAATGGAGTTGTGATTTGCTGAATTACAGAAAGAGCAGGATTGGAGTTTGGATTTGGATGTGTCCAGTTGGAAATGCCTGTCCAAGTACAGTCATCATTGAGTATCATTGGTTCTAGGACACACAGGCACACACACACACACACACCCCACAGATATCAAACTCCCACTGATGCACAAGACTTGTATATAAAATGACATAGGATTTGCACATATCCTACACACATCTTCTTATACCCTTTAAATCATCTCTAGGTTATTTAAAACCCCTAATTCAATGTAAATAGTTGTTGTATGTATTGTTTAGGAACAGTGGCAAGGAAAATGTCTATGTTCAGTAGAGTTACCAGGGTTTTCTCCCAAGTGTTTTTTTCTGTGGCTGTTTGACTTTGTGGGTGTGAGACCCACAGATAACAGAGGGCCAGCTGTATAGACAGATGATTCAGGCAATTGGATTTGTCAGTCTGGAGTTCAAGGGAGAGATCTGGTCTAGAGATAGAGGGGGTCATAACCAGAAATAATTACAAATAACTCAGTCTAGAATATGCCACCATCTAGAGGTCTGAAAGATGGAAGTGTTAAGATTATGTGCCTTTTATTCTTAAGCTTTTTAATATTAATTACACTAGTTGATTTTCAGATGTTGAGTCAGCCTTGCATCCTTGGAATAACCTCACTTCATTATGGTATATAATTCTTTTTGCGTACTTCTGAGTTATATTTCCAGATATTTTGTTTAGGATTTTTGTATGTATCTTCATGAGGAAAATTCATCTGTATTTTGTCTAATTTTTATATTGTCTTTGCTTTTGGTATCAGGGTAGTACTAGTTTCATAAAATGGATTGGAAAGTGTTTTTTCCTTTTCTTTTTTGTAGAGAAAATTGTGCAGAATTGGTTGTTAATTCTTTTTTAAATGTTTGGTGTAATTTGCCAGTGAAACCATATGGGCCTAAAGATTCCTTTTCTCTTTCTATCCTACTCTCATTGAGTTTTAAATGACATTCATTTTCCTTAAGAGTTATAAGGCTAGGGCCGGGTATTTAGCTCAGTGGTTCTGGCACCTGCCTCACAAGCGCAAGGTCCCGAGTTTGATCCCCGGTACCAAACAAAAGAGAGTTATAAGGCTATTCAAATAATCTTTCATGTTGAGTAAGTTGTGGTAGTTTGTGTTTTAAGCATTTTGTGTGTGTATTATGGGTTGGATGTGGTTTAAATGTCCCCCAAGACTTCATGTGTTGAAATTCAGTACCCATTGTGAAGTATTAGGAGGGTAGACACTTAATCCAACTGTGACGTATAGAGTGAGGCCTTTAGGAATGATCTAGAATTAAAAGTCATTAGAGTGGAGCTGCCATGAATGAAGTGATTTTATAAGATGAGCACGCGACTAGACATGAAGTGCCCTGTGCCACCTGGGGAACTCTGCCAGCAGGAAAGTTGTCACCTGATATAGCCTCTAGACCTTGCACCTCCAGAGCTATAGGCAAAGCAAACCTCTTTGTGGTCTGCCAGCCGTATTTCCTTATAGTAATGAAAAACAGACTAAATTTATATAGTATTCTTTTTTTTTTTTTTTTGGTACCGGGGATCGAACTCAGGACCTTGCGCTCGTGAGGCAAGCAGCAGAACCACTGAGCTAAATCCCTGGCCCTATATAGCATTCTTTTTCGTGAGAATTTCTATTTTGTTTTTCTCCAGTGTTATTGATCAAATCCTGGGCCTTGTGCATGCTAGGCAACCACTCTGCTAATAAACTATATCCTCAGACCTTTTTGTTTGTTTGTTTTGAGACAGGGTCTTGCTAATTTGCCCAGGCTGGCCTTGAACTTTCAGTCTTCCTGCCTCAGTCTTCCAAGTAGGTAGTGTTACAGGCATGCATTAGCAAGCAGAGTCCATATCATCCTTGGGGGAAGGGGAGCTACTGAAGAGTGAACCCAGAGCCTTCACACTGAGCTATATCCCCAGCCCATTGTTTAGTTTTTATTTTGAGACGGTCTTGATAAGGTGCTACATTGGCCTGGCTGGGCTGAAATTTACTATTCTACTGCCTCGGCCACCTAGAGTGCTGGGCTAGGATTACAGGCATACACCACCATGCCCAGCTCCACATTGTGATTTTGATATCTGCAAGGTTTGTAGTGCTACGCCATTTTATTACTGGTAGTGGTAATTTATGATATTCCTTTCTCCTGCTCTTTCTCACTCATCTCTCCATCAGTCTTGCTGGAAGTTTGTCTATTTTATTGAGGTTTTTAAAAAAACAATGTTTTGTTTCACTGATTTTATTTTCTAATTTCATTACTTTTTGATCTGATCTGTATTATTTTTGTTCTGCTTGCTTTAGGTTTATTTTGCTTTTTCTAGGTTTGTGGGAGGTAGAAGTTGGCATTTTTTATTTGAGACCCTCCCCTTTTTTCTAATAGATGACTCAGTACTGTAAATTTACCTCTCAGCTTAGCTGTGCTACAGCCATGTATTGTAGTCAGTGGTTTAAGGGAATAGATTTAATACAGAACACATAATTTATAGGATTATTTTATGATATTCACCCCAAAAGTCAAATATAGAGGAGTGCAAGAGATCTGTCCACACACTAGACACCCAAAGAATCCAGCCAAGGGCCTGGATCCCACAGCAATGTTCCACATGAGTCCAGCCGAGGGCCTAGAGCCCACGCCAATGTCTCATGCAAGTCCGTATCAAGGATCTGCACTGGGAAGGCCCAAAGGCCAGTGGTGGAAGCTAGAAAGCCTGCACTGGCAGGGTGAAGGATTTATGCCACAAGGCTGATGGATCTGCACTGGAGCCAGAAGTGATGCTCAAGGCAAAGACCATCGCTCCCCCAAAGAGAATAGCAGCCATCCCTGCCAACAGCGAGAACCCGAGCTCCTCTGACGACAGAGAACGGCCATGGCTGTTTGTATCAGGAAAATGAACAGCATACAATCTTCCCCTCCAGTTCTCCTTTTATGCCATTGGTGACAATCCTCAGGTGGGTCTTCCACACTCAGAACCACACTGACTGAGTTCAGCTGGGCATCCCACTCAAATTGACCATTAGTTAATCCACCACACCATGGATTTTGATAAAATGTTATACAATATTTACATTTTCCTTCATTTCTATGGGTATTTGGTTCCTTTAAGGCCTCTTATTTGTTCAGTGGATTAGTTAGAAATGTGTTGTTTAGGCCGGGGATTTAGCTCAGTGGTTCCGGCGCCTAACTCACAAGTGCAAGGTCCCGAGTTCGATCTTCGGTACAAAAAAGAAATGTGTTGTTTAGTTATCAGATATTTGAGGATTCTCCTGTTATCTCTGTGTTAGTGATTTCAAGCTAAATTCCATTGTTATAGGACATACTGTGTACAATTTTAATTCTTCTAAATTTGTTGAAGTTTGTTTTATAGCCCAAGATATGTTAGGTCTTAATATATGTTCTGTGGGTACTTTTAAAAGAATGTATATTCTGCTGTTTGGGGTGGAATGTTTTATAATTGCCATAG